TTGAAAATGCTATCGTGTCTAAATTAGGCCAGTGCTATTTATTCTCATTTTTAAGTGAGACATTAGTATGTTAAATATCACAATTTAAAAACGATAATATCTTGTTTAAAAATTAAAATACCGAAAGAACATCAAAGCTAGGAAATATATAACCTTCATATCTTTAAGTTTGGTAATAAGTTAATTTGCATTAATGTTAAAACTTACGGCATAAATTGTATCCTACTGAACGCAAATTTGCTATGTCTAGCGTTTGTAAGACGGAGGCAGTAGCTGCTGGTGTGGCGTCCTCTTAATATTTTGCCTATTTTTCTGTTTTTCTAATATTTTTTTCGGGTTTCGCATGTTTTTACCCATTTATCGAGAAAATTTCGAGAAACGTTGCATTTTACACGTGGAAATCGGAGTGTAAGATTTCTGGTAGAAAGGTTTGTCATGGACGGGTGCGAAAAAAACATCATAAATCATAATACATTTTAGCTAATCATATCGAGTTACAAGAGAATGTTTTTAAAGAATATGGTTTTTTTTTTTTACGAAACAAGGATGTCACTGAGCGCAACGCAGAACTAATTTGCTTTACATTTTACTTACAACTATAATATAACATATTATTATTATATAAAACAATAAAATATGTAAGTACTGGTGTACATAACATCGAATTAAATTGTCTGTTTTCGAATGATAAAATATCCGAGGTCGTTTTCCGTGACGAATTTATTTTGATAGTCTGTATTTGGCACGCAACGAACGAATAAATTAAAAAGTTAAAAAAACAAAAAATATCTAAGGCGGTTTTGAGGAATTCGTTTTTTCATACATTTGGACAACAGTGGATGTATAGTAAAATAAGCATATTATTATGCTTACAGTAGTCTAATTGTTTCTGTTTTTCAAGAAAAATATTTTCATTTTTTGTGACACTTAGGTGCGATTTTATTTTTAGAAAAAAAAAAAATAAACTCTAATTTAATTAAACTAAATAAATAATAATAAAAAAAAACCACCTGTAAATGTATCCCACAAAGTAAATATATTGGCGTATTCATGCGAACATACTCGTATTTGAATACAGACTGTAAGAATACGTGAATATACGTGTAAACGTGAATGATCACACGTGCATGTACATGGATTTTTAATGTACACGGTTTTATAGATTCGAATGTTAATTTCACGTAAATAATCGAAAACGTATACGCGTGAAATAAGGAGCTCTAGTTCTCTATCACTATAATACTTAAGAGATACTATCTTATATTCTAATAAAAATTACAAAATAACAACATATTTCATACCTTATTTTTTATTCAGCTATTTATCTACACTAAATTTTAAAATTTTTGTTGAAGCGAGGAATGTATTGGTTTTATTATGATATGTATATTTTTTTTCTATCTATAAACAATTTTTTTTTTATTAGAAATTTTGCTCCAATCAAAAAATGCCAAGAGATATTCTTTGTTGCGTTTTGTATCTAGTCGGTGCGTTAATGAAGTCATTTTTGATTTTCCAAGTGATTTTAATAACAATCGGAAAAACTGAAAAAATGTAAATGAAAACCGCAGAAATAACGGCGTTAACGATTTTATTATTTTAAATTATTTCACGTGTAGCATATTTCCCGTAAGAAAATGTGTAATTGATGTGTAAGTACGTCGTAGTTGGATTTTCTGTGTAGTTTTCTTAATAAATGTTATTTTTCAAATTGTCAAGTAGTTTTACCATAATAGTTGGGAAAATTAGGGCAAAATACGTACATGAAAACGGAAACAATTTACTGTAGTTATCTTAGTTCCGAATTTCTAGAGTCGTTTCTGAAGGAAAATTTTTCTAAAGTTTTCTAAACTTGGAGAGTCATTTAAAGGCGGTAACAAAAAAAGAATGGTTAAGAGAGTTTATATGTTTATATGTAATAATAGGAAAGATAATAGTCTGGCCAGTTGATTGAAGAGTCGCCGAAAAAAAAAAACAAAAAAAAAAACAGTTAGGTATTAAATATAATATTCAATTGTCTCGGACGAGCCGTATTCGTACACTTTGTTTATACTCGTAGTGATTTGTTCATTCGCAATTTTCTCACGTTTATGTACAATTATTACACCATAATAATAAATCTCGACACTTGTACCGCCATGGAAAGTGACGGATCGTCGGAGCATAAACATGAGATGGGTTCTAAGAGGGAAACCCGCACGTTGTCGCGGTCGTAAATGTGGACGCAACGGAAACGACGAGAATTCCGGTGGGATACCGGAACGATTATGTTTCGGCATTAAAGGCGGACATGGGAGAAAAAAGTAAGTTTTTCGTGTGGGTTTCCTTATAATATCATATAGGTACCTCGTTCGCGATAGATAATAGTATTATAGTTATACTATTATAGCCGTGCAGTATTTGCAAATGTAAAATTTTTCTTTTCTCAAAATGTTTAGTCAATTCCTGCGTGTCGTACGAATAAAACACGTATCAATATTTCGGGCGGCTTGAGGAAAGGTTAAACTTTCTCACGTATATAATACGAGTATACCCGTCCTTTCAGAAAACGTGCTCTATTTGTAAATCAGAGCTTTGCTCAGAATTTAATATTATTAATATACACAGGTCTATCAGGCTTACGGAAATCCGTCGGCCGCTATTGGATTGCGGACGGTTATCGGACAATTAAACCGTTTTCGGTGCGATTTGTCGGAATAGGGGTTGCCCAAAAGAACTTTTGGTCCAGAACCAGAAGTTGACACCATCAGGGTCGACGGGCGAACGTGTTGGGACGTCTAAAAGGTAATCCGACCACATTGGTGCCGTTGATTCTGAAGTAAAACGGAAATCAAACATCTAATTAAAGTCTATAAAAAACAAAAAAATTCCTAGAATTCAATAGGACATTAAATTCTTCTCTATATCCTACCTTCCTGACAGTAGCCTGACAGATCGTGCGAAGTATGTGCGTCTTTCTTTTTAAATTCTGTACACAAATTTCTCCTAGAAAACTTGTCGTAATTAAAAATTTAAAATATAATTTTTTGTCTCATTTTGGATGTTGTTTATGAAAAAAAAACATTTTTTTCGATTTTCCGAGCGTTATAATAAGGAAAAACCGTAAAAGAAAACACACCAACGGACAAATTTACGACATTAATATTTTCTTTATTTCACGTTTTTACAATTCATATTTGCTGTCAGAAATCTTGGTCCAATCAAAAAAACGATCAAACAAGACCTTTTTGTTTATTATTTTGGATCTAGTTGGTGACTAAAAAAGTCATTTTTCGATTTTCAAAGTGGTTTTTATAATATGCCGGAATATCCGAGAAAAACCGAAATACGTATAATATATCGTATGTTATTTATAGATCAATCAAAAATATGAAAATCCAGTACAATAAAAAAATATTTTTGCTACCTACACGAAACAATACGCGTTTACTGCATAATTCGTTGTATTCAATGTGTATTTATTTTACTACAATAAGACGAATATACTGTTATGTTACAAATGATTTGTATATAAAAATCAATACTACTGTTCGAACTTCAGTCAGAATCATTTTTCGTTGGTCTATCGTGCGGATATAAATCGAACAATTCTACGTGTGCATTAACCTTCCCGGTTCTTCACCCCTCTAACAGTGGCGCACCCGACAGCAGTATCGAGTATTTTTTATTTTTTATGCTCTGTCTTATTGCATCGTATTTTCCAATTCCGGGCACTTCTCGGGACGCAGTCGCATATTCCGTTCTGAGCCTCGGTACGGGCGGAAAGCGAGAGATCCTTAAAACGCGTGCGGCGGGCGCGACGCGGCGTTGTACAGTATTTTATAGATTTTTCGCCGGGGGACGGTGTCGAAAAGAAGAAAAAAAGGAAAAACGGAACGGTGGTGGGGGGAGGGCGAGGGAACGCAATACTTATTATTATAGGTAGCGATAAGAATGAAAAATCGCCGGGCCCCGTCGAGAATAAAATAAACCGTATACATAACCTCGTGTACACCTGTATTGTAAATTATGCCGTATACGTGTAGTTGTTAAACTCCGGCGAAAATGAGAAAATTCGCTCGTACGGCGGCGGGGTGCGGTATAATTCGGCGTGTAAACGTATCAGAAACAGCGGTAAAAGTGCGCGGTACCGCGGTAGTTGTAGTGGTTGTAGTACACGACCGGCGTAGACGCTGTAAGCGGTCGGTATAATCTCCAGCAGAATCGCGCGTTATTACACGACCGCGTATCTTGTCTCTCGGGCCCGGACCGACCGCCGCCGCTACGCCCGTACACTATATATATTATACTCATGGGGGGCGCCCGCGGGAAATTTATCAGGGTGGGGCATAACGAAATCGTCACCGCACACCGACCAGCGCTTGAAATTATATTAATTAACGTTATTGAAATTATAATTGAAATTGTTCGTGTCCAGAGGAGGAGGGCAGATTTCGCCGAAAAAAAAAACCGTGATTGGGTTACCGTGGTTACCTGATTACCGGGCGACGAAAAATGTTTTTTAAAACTAAAGGGGCGCCCGGCTTAACATAGAACTCGTGATAAAATCAACAATATTGCTATTATTAAATACATCATGTCACTTGTTATGTGTTTTTTTTGGGTTGTAAATGTGCATCGTTAATGGCGACTAGAACAGCGCAAGCAAAATCCGCGCGACTCAAATTTCGCACATTTGAATACGAATTTTTATAAAATTGTAAAAAAAAAACCCAACGAATTCGGGGTGAGGGGGGGGGGACGGCGGACGAATCCCTTCAATACCGCACGCGCTACCGGGTTGAACGTGGGCAACCGTGGCGACCGACGACCGTGACCGACGGGCCGCCCGGTAACGCGTAAACCGTGGGCTCGAACCGTGACAACACGCTAACCGGGACCGTGGTTACGGTAACGTCATGCGAATTCGTCGTGACTGTATCTATACAAATATACTTACGTATTTATCGCGTTATACGCACGCGCGCCGCAGCGGTACGCGGGCAGTCGAGTCGACGAAAATGAATATCCGGGAGGACGCGGACGAAAAAAGGTACGGCGGCTGTCGCGCACGAAATGTTTACGCGTTTTTAGAAATTACGTATTCCCGCGTCGTAGTGGCGGATGTATGCGAGAAACACGCGGATACGACCGTCGCCGCCGCCGCCGCCCAGTGTCCCGGTCTCGTCTCCGCTTTCCCAGTGCGGTGGGAGCGACACTGCGGGAATGCAACAAAACTCGGCATCTGCAGAGTCGGCGAGTCGACGTTTGGAAAGCGTGAAATTCGGACGGGCAAAAACTTGGAAAGTGCAAAAATTCGGAATTTATAATACACGTTACCGCGAGAATCCAAGTGGGAAATATGGCCTACTATGGACTGCCAAAACTACATCAAATACAAAATCGTTATCGAGAGAGATAAAGAAACGTTTCTAACCTTTTGATACCACCTGTAATATTGTACGGGTCGGAAATCTGGCCACTAAGGAAATCAGATGTAAACGAATTCCTGGTACTAGAAAGGAAAATACTGCGGAAGATTTTTGGACCGATAAAACATGATGTTACGGGATAATAGAAACGAAGTAAAAATAGAGAATTACAATAAAAATGTACACCGAAAATAACGTGATAGAGGCGATCAAGAAATGAAAACTGCGCAGAGCAGGACACTCGGTGAGAAGTCAGGATTCTCTACTAATAGTGTTGTTGGAACAGAACTCTTTAAAGAAAAGACCTTTAGGAAGACTGAGATTTAGATAGGAGGATACAGTTAAGAAGGACTGGAAGGATATGGCAATGAATAGAGATGGTTTAAGGAGTCGGTTATGAAATAGGATGGTCCGAGTGGTCAAATATTCCCAAAAAAATACGCCCTGAAATATGTGTAATGCTCGTAACGCTCTTGTAATCGAAACTACTCAAATGCCGATTAGGCGAGACCCGCTCTCATCGAAAAATATTTCGCGAGTCGGTAAATTCCCGAACCGGCGTGTTCTGGTCCCGCGTCTTTCCACCCACAACTTGTGGAAGGAATCGCCTCTCGCATCTATGTTATTATTGCATTTTTTTTTTTTTACTCTTCCAATGGAAAATGTATCGAACCGTAACGCGAAAGAAAAATACTTATATAATACTATACGTTTATACGATTTGTAGTCGGATTCGTGAAAACGCGTACCAGAATCGCGTTGTCGATCCCTAACTCAAGTATGTACTTTGGTACACGAAAACAATTAAAAAGTAAAAAAAAAAAATGAGAATTAATAAAAGTGCTTAAAAAAAATATATTATTATGTAATGCCGATTCACCATAGATCATTACATAATTCGCGTGGAGAATAGTGATTGCGTCACAGATTTATAATCAATTTCGACTGGTTTCTCAAAACCGTACAGTATCATTCGTGTTGTCGAACAATGAAGTGCCTAGTAATTCATTGAATTCGAATATTCGTGTTTGTTATTCATAAAATCATGCCCGTATTTTATTTGGGGGGGGGAGGAGTGAAATGATATATGTTCGTTTCCCCTTGTGGTTTGGACGAGGGGTAACTGCCGCTCTCTGCTCTAATGCCACTGCGGTTCAGTTAGAATTTCGGTTTTTTATATCTCTCCTCCTCGTCTTCCAAGGTTGTGTTTCTTATTGCTCGTGGAGAAAATTGCGATGTTTGAGACGATCTGTACCCACGTACTAAACAGGGTAATCTTTTTTTTATAACGAACAAGTAATTTTCTAGGAGGATTTCAAGTAAATTTTTATACCTTGTTTTTAAATCGACTTGGAACGTCATATAAGTTTTATTTTAAAATCATTTTTTAAATAATTTTCATATCCACTCCGTATATATTAAATAAGTATATACATATTTTGTTTTTTAAATAGGAATGACCCATTTTGAAAACAGATTCGAATAGAGAATATTTTTCTAGACATTTTTATATGCCTAACATTACAATCAGATTTACTGAATGTGAGTTGTAACCGTTTTAAGTTTAGACCGGAGCAGTATGAAAGAGTTATCAATTTATCATTTAAACGTACGAATAAAATTAATTTAATGGCTATAACTCACCAACGGTAAATCTGATATTAGTGTTTTCCCTATCAAAATGCCTGGAAAAATATTCTTTATTCGAATCTGTATTTAAAAATTGGGGTACCTATTCGAAAAACTAAAGTATACTATACGCTAAAGTATAGTATACGCTTATTTAAGGTATATTGAGTAGGGAAACATACGAAATATACGAAAAAAGACACAATGATGAGCTTTGCGGCCTATATGAAAAACTCGATATACTCGCATATATACGATGTACATGAACGTCTAGAGTGACTGAGACACGTGTGAAGAGCTGATGGAGATGTTCGAGTATACTTAAAGAACGTTCGGACAGGAGACATAAATAAAAACCGTCCGTTCGAAAGCCCGAGAACAAGACGGCAAGATATCGTAGAAAAGGATGTATAAGACGGAAGTACACTGGACTTTGGTCGGAGAGAAAACGGAAAGGTTTACTAGTGGCGGCGTGGGTCCTGAAATAACGGTTTTAAAAGAAAGCTTAAACGATGAAAAAAAAATGAAAAAACGGATATACTTCGCACGATGGGTGCAGCCACTGTTGTTGGTGAGAAGTTGGGAAGGTAGGATATAAAGGGGAATTTAATTAGTATCAGTAAGCAAAGACGATAAACCATTGCTATTTAAAAAACGATTCTGAGTGGAATTCAGTTGACAGTGACGTTTTGTCAACAATATATAAGTCGTATTACGGTAAAATAATTAAATAGGTATTGAATATTTTGTTTAATAATATTCGTTTGTTATTGGACCTATTTTCCTGTTTTTCCTACGTTTTTTCCCGGTTTTCCAGTGTTTTTTTCCCGGTTTCTTGGAAAACAGTCGGGAAAATCGAAAAACGATCTCCCTGTAACACCCCGGGAAAATTTCCCTTCAGAAAAACGTCTACGTCGCATACGCCGGAGTGAGTTTTCTGATAGAAAATGTGTTCGCGATGGAAAAAAATATTAAACCCGTTCCGTATGAAAAAATCTCGTCCCCGCCGTTCGTCGCCGTTCCTCTATACTATATTACGTCTTGTATATTATCATTTTTTTTTTTTTTTTTTTTTTT